AGTTGGAATTCCTTAAATCAAAAATCTCAGTGCGAGTAGGATGAGCTACATTACGAGGACATGATAATAAATTCAAACGTGATACAAGTTTTTGGATGCATTAATTATTTCAGGAAAAACCCACTTAAAAATTTTTTCAAAGCCACAATTGATGGATACATTTATTTCCGAAAACTCCACTTACGAAAGTTCGAACCCACACAATGAAGCGAAGGCCACTAATAATGAAGTAGTCCCTACATGATCTCATACGTGAGAGGTGGGCGACGACCCTAAACTCCACTTAAAAAGGGTCGAAACCACACAGGTTGATTTTGGTTTTTTTAACTGTTCTTAGTTTTAAGAGTAAAATACTCTGACATTCCTTATATTTTATCTTAATTATACAAACTTTTCTTGTATTTTGAAAACATACACTTAAGTTCAAACCGTTAGTTCCGTTGAGAATATTCTAAAAAGATGTTTTTTTTTAAAATTAAAATTTATGTTGAAATACTCTTGATTTACTAATTTACCCTTCACAATACTAAATCCCCAAATTTTGGCCAAAACTATCTTGAAGAATTTAAGATTTTTTCCTTTACCTTAATTTTATTTTTTATTTTTACAAATCATTGTTTATCTAATGTTTTTATCATATTGGACCAGAAAATTAAGTAATTTAGTTAATGTAAACATAAAAAAAATATTAAATAAGAATTTGATTAATTCTTTAAATAAATATATAATTGATAAAATTAGATAAGTTATAAATGTTTGCAACAATTTTTTTCAAGAAAATTTAAATTATAAATTTAAATGATTTATATAATTTTCTAAAAATACATAATTTATATTATATGATGAAAAAAATAAGCATTCGAAATATTCTCTAGCCATTTAAAAGAAACCTTAAGTTTCAATATTTCATGAAGAATTAAAATTGTATAATTCTATAACATAATCAAAATTAAAAATTTTATAACATATTGAAAATTTTGAAAATACATGTATTATAATTATTTTTTGTTGCATAAAAATTATTTTTATATATGTATATAAATGTTTAAATAACGTTTATGTTAAAATTTACATATATTACTACTTATTTTTTAATAAAGATAAACTCAGAGAGTCTATCATTTGAGTTCACGCGATGCAAGTGTACAAATTTAATATAAAATATTACCTCATGTCCTTAATATATGACCTAGTTGACTATAATTTGAGGAGATTAAAAAAGTTATTTAAGTTAGTTATTTCTAATAAATAAATGTTGTATTTCTTAAAATGCCCTTACTAATCATAAATGTTTGAATTACAAATTGATAATAACTCTGTAACATATAAAACTATTGTAGGGATTACTTGAGAAAAAATGGATAAGTATTAAAAACAAAGTGGATTGTAATCTTATATTTAAAATCAAATTAAAAGTTAAACTAGATCTTATATTAAGGATCGGATGTAGTATTAGTTTACTTTGACTCCTTAGTTTCACGACTGATTGCACTTAGTTTTATATCTGTCATGGGGATCATAGAAATATGGTATTTATTTTATTAAATAATTATATTTATTGTTTGGAATTACCAGTTTGCCCTCACCTCAAAGATCGCAACCCCACCCACAAGTCGTAACTGCCTAACCCACCTTTGCCGTGATCACACCAGAACTCATGCTGCGGTTCTATTAAATCATTTTTCATTTTTCTTGAAGAAAATCAATGTTCATTTTTATGCAAACAAAGAACAGGCACTAGGGTGAAATTGAGACCAAAGGGAAAAAAATAACCAGAAAGACCAAAATTAAAAGATCTTGGTCATCAAGGAATTAGGAAACTTGAAAAAAAAAAAATTCCCTGAACAGTGAACGCCATCCTCATCGATGATCAAAGAACCGAGATCAATGAATCAAGAAAAGAAACCAACGGCTCAAATCAAACGACCCAAGATCAATGGAGGTTCAAGTGACTTGGCATCACAGATCTGAGTACTCCTCCATCATTCGCCTTCATTCTTCATTTGAGTTGAACAAGGCTGAATACTTCTCCATTATGTCGTTCCCTTCGCCGTCATCCTCTGCCGTCAGCCTTCATCGTCGTCCTCCGTCATCTTCATTTCCCTAGGGAGGGGGAGGGGGGTCATGGGTAACATGGTAAAAGAATGGAGTTCCATAGAAGTGGAACCCAGTTCCCTGGGGGCTGTGGAACCTAGTTCCATCATTTTTTTATGGAACTCAATTCCTCAGAGTTGCCTTCAGCCATACCGAACAAACAAATTTTGGATTCTAGTTGCACTTCCACTTCCCACCTTCCCCAATTCCATGCTACTAAATGGGCATTACTTTTGTTTCCCACCTTCTTCCACCTCCTCCACCCATGTCTATGGCGGACGTGATACTGCTGTCTAGAGTTTCCTCCATGACTGTGCGTGGTTGAGTTTATCATCTCTTGATGATAGGCGGTGGTTGAGCAATGATCTTTTACTAGAAGAGTTTCTAGTTCCATTTATGTTTTGTTCTCTAGTATATTTTCATATTTTCCTTGTCATGAATGTGTCTATATATATTTTTGAAACTGCGCAGTAAACTTCATTTGTGCTGTTGAACTAACTTTCATCTATTTGGATTATTGTAGTTAAGTATTATAATATGTTAATGCACTATTTCAGTTGAGTTAATCTGTATTGAGTTATTTACTATTTAGCATGTTATTATGAAATAATTCTATGAATTTTGCTTGCTCGAAAATGGGTATTCATACATATTTCATTAATTAAGATCATTAAAAGATGAGGATGTGGCATATTAATGTTAGGTGTGTTCCATTAATTAGCGCTTAATTAAAAGGAAAGTGTATTAATCCAATCCTAGCTGGCACGCAAGTTTTCATTTCATTTTATATCATGTGAGCTTATGTTGCCATAATCTATATTATTAGATGATGCGAACATCTTTGATGCCTTTTCTTATCATCCTTAAAGATTAGGCTTTACTGAGTTTTAAAAGCAGCATGCAAGTGTACATGGAAATCTCATAATTCGAGCGGTAACATAAGCTCACCTAGTGATTTTGCTCCAACGTATACCATTATTTATTACGAGTGAAAGTGGTTTTATTGATTTTCTTGCAATTAAATTGTTACATGCATGTTTCTTCCAGGTCCGCTCCCACTTTTCCTTTCTTTGCCACCTCACATTAGACAAAGAGAAGATATCAATTATGTACTAATACTTAACATATATCATAAAGAGAATATAATTACAGACCATGTTGGCTTTTTCCCCCCTTGTTTTGGTAGGGGGAACCCTCCACATGATATCTAGTGCCTTTTCCAATCCTAAACTTTTAATATGTGTCATTTGTCCGTAAAATAGAAGATTGAATAGACTATGGTGCAGAGGGGTAACAATTAAACAAATTATTTTTGAAAAACCAATATTTATTTTTTAAAAAAATAACTAAACTAATTTTATCAATATTTATAAACTATTTGTTTAGCTTCTATACATTTTCAACAAAACAGAATAATCGTTTTCTGTGATTGAAATGAATTGATGTCGAGCCAACCCGCATATACTTGCATTACACTTTGTGGTCATGCGCAGAATGCTAATCCCACTAATTAATGGTATTTGATCCAGTGGAGTCAATGTTCAATGATAGGATCACTAACCGGATGCAAATCTAAATTGACTATAACTATTATAGTTGTGCTAATAAATCTAAATAACAGTAACATATTTCTATAGTTAATAATTCATGACTTTTTATTTAATCTTTATAATGGACTTGAGTTCATCGTAACATAAAACTGGGAGAATGACTATAGATTTGCTAGCTATTGATAGAACAAACTCCACTTGGTGAATCTGTATTCCTCTTCATCCAGAAGTATCCGTCCATTCCCCAATTTTCACGCCATGAATTCTTCACAATCCAATAATCTTTTCCACCTTTTGAACCATATCCAACAATCAAAACTGCATGATTTGTGTAAGTTAAATCCTTATTGCAATTCCCTCCATCGAAAACTCCCTAACAAAATACAAAAATTTAATTGGGAAGAAAAATTCAAAATCATGATTGATATTTTATAGTGGACTTAAATTATACCTGCAAATATTTGGAGACAAATTAAAAAATATATATTACCTCATGTCTTTAATATAAAATCCAATTGGTTTGGATAAATTAAGAAAGTTACTGAATTACTTTAAAATATTTATATTTTTTGTTTTTCTCGAAACTAATTTACCTCACTTATAGATGAACATACAATCTAATGAGACACATAATTATCTTAGAAAGATAATATAATATATATTATAATTATATAATTTCGTAACTTTTTTAATCTTCCCAAATTAGTTAACAGGGAGCATATATTAGAAAGCCCCAAAAGATCAATTCAATAAAATAATCAAGTAGAATAATAAAACCAAACAGGATAACATTTAACACGGCCTGGAAATTGGATGAGGAGAGAGAAAGAAAGACATACATCCCGATAGTGTTGACGATATGTTGCATCCAACGACACCGTAACGGGCTGCTGAGCAGCGGCACATAAGAGAGCCGCATCTGATTTTGGCACTTTTCCATAGCTATTAATTTTCACCACTCTGCCTCCATTTTGCTTAACAAACACAAAAAAGAAACCTCAAATTAGAGAGAGAGAGAGAGAGTAAACGAACCTCCTTGGCTTTGCAAATACCATTTCGTGCTGTATAAGTATAATCATCTCCTTCACTAATGCCACCATTTTTTCTAACCCATTCAAAGGCACTTCTGGTGTATCCGCCTGAACAACCATAGCTTACAGAGTCGCAACTACGAGTCCTAGTTCTGAGAGAGAAACAAGTTTCCCTGTGCGTATTGCATTTATTGACTCAATTGCTCCGATGGTTCCAAACGCCCAGCAACTTCCTATGAACCATCAAATGTTAATCCATTATTGGTCCATTCAGGTTCCAGAGAAAATTAATTGTGATCAATTAAATTGAACTAAGGCAACTCACCACATCTCTTTCGGTTTTTAACTGGAGTCACCACTCCTTTCTGTCTCCCATCCACAGAAGCAGGTGGTGTACAGGAGTCCAGTTGCAGTACAAAGTCGGACCTCGTGGCAGCGGCGGCTGCGGCAGCAGAGTCGTTGGTGGTCGGTGTCGGTAGATGACGGAGGTATGCTCTCTTAAACTCCTCAGAACTCATATCAGCAAAAAGGTTGAGTCCCAAACGATACCCAGATCTCTTGGCATTTGTCTCTGTGATATACTTGAGATTCTTTCGGAATATCTGGTACCTGGTTTCTGTGGTTTCAGAGTTTGGGTATTTTTTCCCATGCTCCTTCATCCATTGTCGGAATATTCCAAACTCTTGTTCTCCTTTTGAAGGGAGAACGGATTCTTCAGTGGGGAATCCTGAAGAGAGACATATGAGAGTGGAACACCAGATCAAGAGATGAAGGAACAGTGTTTTAGAAGAAACGGACAAAGTCATGCGTGTTTTAGAGTTTCAGATAATCAGAGATGAAACTTCAAATAAGCTTGCATGGAAGTGAGACCAGCAACGAGATATTTATAGTGTGATTCAATTTACCTGTGGAGAAAAAAAGACAAAATGTAAATAACAGTGTGTTTCATATAAATATATTTTTCCAGCAATACCGTAGAATTTAATTTATTTTCCTTATAAAAAAAGAGAATGTTATTTATTCTTGATCGGAATGATTCATATTTTGACCATATATTTTATATTGATACTTTTCAGCCCACTACCAAGGCTTGGGAGAAAAGTTTGATGCAAGATTTTATATTGAACTTAAAATTTTATATTGAACTTGAGTCAAACCATGCGGGAGCTTAAAATTTGCAATTTGAATTGGTGATTTTGTTAATGATGTCGTGATACACTTATTAACTTCAAAAAGTCATGTTATTGGGCAGACTTTAGTGTTCTTTATTAACATTATCCGTCAATGGCAAGAAGAATACTAACGGAATTGTGTATAGTCTACATCTCATTATTATGCTTAGACTATTACGTGTTGACTGGTAAGACAATATGAGAGCACATTCCATACCCATCACAATAAGTATGGAGTACTCATCTTAATTTGAATTGTCCAACTTAATTTTGAATGTTTCAGATTGGATTTCAATTTTTTTGTATTTTTTAATTAACTTTTTATTTTAATAGATACATAATTCAAAATAAAGATAATTTTATAACTAACACTTCTTGAAAAGATAAATTTATTATTGACAAAATTGCATACCACTTCCGGTCCTTAATATAAGAGCTTGTTTGACTTTTATTTTGGTTCTAGATATAAGACCCCAATCCACTTTGTCTCTTATATTTATCCATTTTTTTCTAAGATAATCCTTATAATAATGGTAGTTTTAGCTAATACATTTGATTAGCAAGGATATTTTAGGAAAAACAATACCTAATTATTACAAATAACTAACTCAACAAACTTTCTTAATATACTCATATTAGTCAATTAACTCTTATATTAAGGACCGGAGGTAGTATTAAAAATTTTAAATATGAACCACATCCATATCCGGATGAAGACCCTGTAATGCAATATATAATGATGTTTATATGATTTTATTTGGTATATCGTTATAAAATTATGATGCGTAGGTATAATATTGATTTGTTAGTTTTTTAAAAAAAAAGTGGAAATAGATAGAAATAATAAATAAAAAAATAAAATTATCCTCTCTATATTACTATGCGCACACACGCTTACATATATGTAGTATAAGGAACTAAAGTTGTGTCTGCATATTATACAGGCAGTAGTGTCTTTTCCATCTAATTACAAGAGAACTATATCCCATTTCTCATGTCCAATAATGTAATTATAATCCAGCTATTTAAGGTAATTAAGGAGTATTACACAATGTTAGTCTTTTTTTTTTTTAATTACAAAAGCCCACCCAAACGTTTAAATCCGCCACTATTTGATGGTTATTGATAAACCATGTTTTATCAAACAAGTGAGACTTTGTCAGTTTACTTTCCTATGATAGTATGAAATTGCTCGTAAACTAACCCATGATAGAAATCTCTGTCTCCTTGCAAGTGACAAGCTTCATTGGCAAGAAAAGAAAAAATAAATCGAACTCTTCAACTTACATAATAAAGATCCAAAGACCTCAACGAGAAAGGAGAAATGTGGGGTCCAAATATAGTAGTTTTCATTTGATTACTAATTGAGTTCCAATAATTTTTTATCATATAGTTATAGTTTCATCTGATTTTAGTTAGATCTCTGTAGTTTTTTGTCATCAAATTCTTACAGTTTCACTTTTTTTACCACCTAAAACTGTAGAAATTTGATTAAAAATCAAGTAAAACGGTTAGCATGCACTTGATAAACAGGAAAACAACTATAGCAACCTAATTACGACCCTAATCCTGAATATAAGATCTAGTTGACTAATTTAAAAAACATAATGAAGTTAAACATTATTATCTCTACTCCTAAATATAAACCTAGTTTGCAGTGTGAATTGCACTACATACTAGGTCTTACATTTAGGACCAAAGGTAGTACTTAATTATAGCATATGTTAATAATATTTTTAAAATACTTATATGTATTATTAGATTATATATCAGCTTATAAGCTGAGTAAATTAAATTAGTTTGAAGAAAAATGATAAATATAATACTTTAAAATAATTTATATAACTTTTTAAAGCTTTCCAAATTAGTTAATTGGGTCATATGTTAAGGATTAGGTGTAGTATAACACACACATATATGTACACTAAATTGAGTTTGTAAAAAACTCTGATATTATTTTCTTGCTATATTCAACACTCTAATCTTATTTATAATCCATCCAGCATACTAATATTATTTTTTTGGTGGTTCCAATATCTTATCTTATTTAAAGTGCAATGTGCATCCTAAATTATAAAATAAGATTAGAGTGACGATGTAACTGAAAAATAATATTAGGATGATGGATGCACCAGTAAAATAATATCAGGTTGCTAAATATACTATAAATAAAATTAAAATATTAGATACACTGAAAATAATACCAAAGTATTGGATGCTACTTTGCCCAAAAAAACAAAACTAGATGTCTTTTAAGCTATGAAATTCTCCAACTTTTTGTCTTGCTTGATCTATGAAAATTTTAATTTTCAACATAATTACAAAAAGGAATTTGGAGTATCAACTTGCATGCATGGTCCGGAGTAGTATTAACTTGCATATTAAACTAAACAATTATTTTCAAAATATATATTTTAATTAAAATATAACTTTAAAAGAAAACAGAGATACATACACTTATATGGGTATGTAGAAGGATTTGATATGAAAAACCAAAATGTATATAGTGTGTTGGGTTGGATAGCATTAAAAATATAGAAAAATTCTCCGCATAATTTCCTAAGCAACTTGGCCAGATTAATCCTCCAATTACCATGCCTTTTTTCTAATAAGAAAGACATTTGAGAACATTCAAAAGGCAACCAAGTTTGACCCACAAATTAATGAGGTCCAAGTATATTATTTATGTAGAACCCCCAATTATGTCTGAGTTGACTCGATCGTATAGCCAACCAAGTTTGCTTTTGAATTGGATGAGATAGGTAAGGAATTGGAGAGCTATCCCACGAAACACGTTCGTGGGAAGAAAATAAATAGAGAATGAATAATTAAATAGACATCATGTCTCAACTTCAAATTTTAAAATTTAAATTTAGAAGTATTTTATCATATTATATATTTATTATTAAATTCAATCCATCTGATTGAGACTTTTAATATATCAATTCCCATTGATTAGGAAATAGATATATACGTCCTAACAAGTTGTTTCATAAGGAAAATGTGTATCCAAAAACTCCACTTAAAAAACGCGAGTTGGTTGTTGACTCAACCAAATCCACATTCTTGGGTATAAGAAACAAGCTGACTAGCTTTTAGACTTGTCCTCCTCAGGCTCTTAATGTAAAACTAAATTACACTATACTATAAAATGAGTCTTATATTTAAAATTAAATGAGTATATGCTTTAGCAGAGACTTAACTTGGTTTTGGAGTAGCTTAAATCAAAATTCTTAGTGCGAGTAGGATGAGTTACATTATGAGGGCACAATAAGAAATTCAAACATGATCAAAGTTGATGGTTGCATTTATTAATTATTTTAAAAAAACACTTAAAAAGGTTCAAACCCACGACGATTGATGGATGCATTCATTTCCAAAATCTCCACTTAACACGTGATTCATAGAAGCAAAAGGCCACTAACGCCCATATGCTCTCATATGTAAGAGGTGGCCGACCATAAATTCCAATCAAGTGAAAGTTCGAAATCACGCAGGTTGATTCTAATTTTTTTTTCTATTCTTATTTTTTAATAAAAAATAATAATTAAGTTTTACATGAAGTTAAAATGTGCTGTTGTGTTGAAACAAAAAAAAAAACAAAAAAAGAAGGAAAGAGTTTCAGATTTTGGAGTTTGCAACATAAGAGGCAAGTTTCCTAATTTGAAAGAGCTTCCATTGCAAGTCACAATTAATTTCCTAAATTTTTATACTTGGGTGGTAAGACTCCTACTTTCCTATTTCTACTTTCCTTTTTTTTTTTATCTAGTTTTCTATTTTTTTTTCCTTTTCATATTACTTTCCTATTTTCTTTCTTCAAGTTTCCTTCTTTTGTTTCCTATTCCTTTTCCTTCCTTTTCATACTACTTGCCTAATTTCAGTTCTTTTGTTGCAAGGTACTCACTTTCCTAAAGTTTTCTCAAGGAAGTACCTTTCCTAATTACTTTGTTTCCTATTTTCCTTTACTTTCACAACCTTATTTTCATTTTGCAATTCCTGCCTCCCATTTCCACCTTTTTTTTTCTATCCTTTTTTTTTCATCATAAACTTCTTCTCTCCTCAATTTTTCTCTTCCTTTCCTTCCATCCTCACATTTTGCCTATCCTTCTTCTTTCATCTCTTATCTTTTCCCCTTTCACATAGTTGCTGGCTCTTACAATTTCTGGTTGTGAAGGTTACAACTTTCTAATATTGTCTCTTGGTTTTTGTTGAGTTTCAATCAAGAATACTATAGGAGACAAGCTCGAGTGGTAAAAGACAAGAGTGTTTTACTTTAATATAAAAGCCAAAGTTGAGAGAAACATGAGTGGCACCAAATTGATTAAGTGGAACACACGAGCAGAGTGATGAGGTCCATTATTTCTATTTCTTTTTTCTCTTTGCTTCAACTAACATCTCAGGTTGAAGATGAGCAGGAAAGAATCCAATAATGAAGAATTCAACACAGATATCAAAGTATTCATGAGGGCTATGAGAGATGAGTTTCTCAAACTCAAGATGGAAATGGAAGAGTTAAAGATATCCAAAACAGATAGTAGTGATGACGAGGTGATTAGATATGGCTCATCAACTTCAAACAGCAAGAGCAAACATTCCAAAAATGACATGGCCATAATCGATCCAAAGATCAAGTATCCTACTTTCAAGGGTAATACCAATCCAGATAAATATCTTGATTGGGAGATGAAGTTCGAGCAGATTTTCAAATTGAATGAGTGGCTTGAAGAAAAAAAGGTAAAATTAGCTTCATTTCAGTTTTCTGACTATGCTACTATTTGGTGGGAAGATTTGCAGCTTAAGAGACGCCTTAAGGGCAAAGGTCCCCCTCGTACGTGAGAGAAGCTAAAGAAATTCATGCACAAGAAGTATGTTCCTAGTTTCTACTATCGAGAGCTTAATAGAAAGTTGCGATTGTTTAGCCAAGACTCTATGACAGTAGAAGAGTATGTACATGAGCTTGATCTTCTTAAGATGCATGCTGGAGTGCAAGAAGATGAAGAATCAAGCATGAGCAGAATTATTGATGGTCTGAGACCTGAAATTAGAGACAAAGTTGAGATGTACACTTTTGTTGATAAGGAGGAGTTGGTGCACAAAGCCATCAAGGTTGAAAAACAGTTTAAAGAGAAACACTCCAAATCCTCATCCTTTGGTTGGAGGGACTCTAAACTAACCTCCAAGTGTAAGGATTCCAAGGCTAAGGATGCAGCAAGATTCACCCCTAAAGCCAAGGAGGAATTAAAGCCTAAGGGTAATGGTGGTGAGAAACTTGACTCTAAAACTTCTTCTACTGATAAAACCTCTTCTCTTTAATGTTTTAGATGTCATGGAAAGGGGCATATTACTTCCAAATATCCCAATAAGAGAGCCATCATTATCAAAGACAATGGTGAGTATGACAGTGAACATTCTAGTGATAAAAGTGATGATGATATGCCCTCTTTGGTGACTGACTCTGAATTAGAGATTGATGAAGCTGAACCTGTTACGGGAGAAGCATTGGTGGCTAGAAGAGCCCTAAATATTCATGTAAAGGAAGATGATGAGAAAGAGCAGCGAGAGCTTATCTTCCACACTAGGTATTTCATAAAGAATAAGGTATGCAGCATGGTTATTGATAGTGGTAGTGTTACCAATGTTACTAGTACCTTATTGGTTGAAAAGCGAGACTTGCCTACTATGAATGAAATAAAGGATTTTTCATCTTAACAAAGTGCGATGCCAATCCATAGGCCCAACAAGTGTATAAAGGATATATTTTACTTAATATTTTTTTTCAATGACAAGCGGTTTGACATAAAAATGAAAAAATAAATTAAATATTCAAATATCCCCAAATGTAACTTATAATAATAAAAAGACCACATCTATTCAAGAAATTAAAGTTTATAAAAAGAACTGGAGGGAGGATTCTCTTTGAAGTAAATTACTCCCCCTTTTTTGAAGTAAATTCTCTTTGAAGTAATTTGCTGCTCTGGCTGAACTTCTGTACAGAGAGAAAAATTATTTTTGAACGTCCCCTGACTCCACCCATGGAGTAAGGAAAAAGGGAAGGAGATTCTTGTCAAATTCGTTGTTGGTTTTGTCTCTTGATCAATTGTATAAGAAATTATGAATTATTTCGAAGGAAATGATTACTAAACATTAGTGATTCACAAGATGCTTTGTAGGAAAGAGTCTCAGGGACTGTTTGGAAGAAAAACAAATATAATTTTAAAAATAATTTTATGATATATGAAATAAATGTGTAAGAAAAGTTTTGTCTCAGTAAAAACACTTTTTAAAAGGTACTTTTTTTTTTATTACCAAACACCCGGCTACTATTAAGAGCAAGGCAAAAAGAGGAAATCAATTTCATTTGAAATACTTGGAAAAAAATCAGGATCCTAAACTTTTCGCATCATAATATATAAAACATCTCAAGTTTATTCTGTCATTTGTATGTCTTTACTTCAATTTGATCTCAAACTCACTTGCGTTGGGCTAGTTAAGATTTATTTGGGTTACAATTTTAATACTCAGAAATTATTAATCCACGTAAAAACAACAAGTTTTCATAACAGATTACTTACTCACCTTCATGTTTTATCAGCATGCTCTAATTCAATATGGAGATCAGAAGAAGTAAATATATACAGAGGGAGAGCTTTCGTTCTTAATTAAACATACATAAGCTTTATTCCACGGCACACATAACTGTATATCGCCACCAGGCTTATTTATTCCACGGCAAATCATTTGCCATTTATTTATACCCAATACAAGCATGGTACAGCACCTAACTGGTGTCCTTCACACAGCTTTACAATGCCTGGCTTCATATATTATTCCTGGAGGGCGTGCTTCATATGGAAGTAGCAATCTTCAAAGCAGGCACTTCTTTCTTCCCTTTGGTTGGGTATGCGCCAGAACAGTTTATGTTACATACTCCCTGAGTAGCACCGATGTTTCTTTTGATGAATATGTAACCACTTTGTCCCCAGGTGGATCCCCATGAGTTTTTAACAATCCAATAATCTTGACCATCGCCTGATGAACCATATCCTACAATTAATACAGCATGATTATGCTTGCATGAACCGATGCCCGAGCAATCGTCGCCAGCAAAGATTCCCTGTCACCGTTAAGCAAACAACTATTAATTACTTTTCAAATGTGTCTTCTTGGATGATAGAGATCTGATGATGAGGAAACGAAAATATGACTTACACTTTTGTAGGACTTAAAATGTGGGCTTGCATATATGGAAACACTAACAGGTTGCTTGTAAACATAACAACGGAGAGAACTTTCAGATATAGGTTTCTGAGACCAATAATTATAGCCATCGATAGTAGCAATTGTGTTTCCAGCCTGCATCAAAGTAAAATAAGAATAAGAGTAAAACCATAATTAAGAAAATTACATATATTTAAACTACCCAATTAGTTCACACAGGTCTAAACACTAACCGCTGCAGAATTGCAAGCACTATCGTCAGCTGTATATGGATAAGCCTTTTCTGAGGCAATTCCACCATTTTTGATGACATATTTAAATCCATTAACGTACCACCCTCCTTCGCAGCCTTTACTTGTAGAGCAAGATATGAGTTGTTGTTCAGAAAGTTCCAGAAGCTGTTGAGAGACTATCTGATTTATACCTTCCATAGCTCCGGTCGCAGAGAATGCCCAACAACCACCTCCAAAAATGAATTTGATTCGCTGTTATATGCTTCTATTATATGCGGCAATTAGATTATAACAGAAGAACGAAGCAAATTTGAACTTACCACATTTGCCTTGGTTTTTAACATACGTTACAGCTCCTTTGGTCCTCCAATCCCAGGAAGAGGGTGCATCTGGACATGATGCGTCGTTCAATATCATTTTGCTATTGTTGATTTCCATTATGGGTTCCTCTGTCTCATGCAAGTACATTTTGCTGAACTCTTCGTACGTCATATCTGAGAATTCGTTCAAACCCAAGCTGTAGTCACTGGCTGACTTCCTTTCTGCATTTTTCTCTCTGATTTCCTTCAAATTGCTTTTAAAGATTTGAAATCTTATTGCCTCCTCTCCCAAGGTTTGGTATTCTCGTCCAGTCTCCTTCTTCCAGATTTGGAATAGATGGAACACTTTTTTGGTCAGAAACGAGTTTGTCTAGATCCAGGTTCGAAAAGGAATACTCATCAGGCACACTGGAAGAAGAGGTAAGAGAAATGGAAGCATACCAAACCAGGAAAAGGAGGAAGATTTTAGCAGCAGGCGAACTCATTGTGCACTAGAAGGTGATAGATATTGAGCCAAGCGCTTGGATTGTGCATGGTTCTTCCATAGCACTATTGTTCCATATATATAGAGGCCGCTGCGCACAGTCCCCTCATCACAGCTCACTTTTATAAATAATTATCTAATCCTTAATGTAAAACATAATTGAAGAGTTGATGTTGACCTTTTATGTAAAACCTATTTATCATATTTGTTAATTTTTTTTCTAAATTAACTCTATTGATTATTCTTTCAAAAATAATCAAGTAAGAGAAGGAAAGAGGAGTACTACATGATTGATTGAGGGGGAAAGTAATTAAGGACGAGGAAATTAAATGCGAAACACGAGTGGTTTTGGCAGATTCTGCAAATGTGATAGGTATAGTGTGCCCACTTCCGCAATAATTTCCATAACGCCAAGCTTCTTTTGCTTCCACCTGTCGAAAATGGAGATAGCAGGCTCTCAAATGTGTTTAAAATTAAATTGCATACATATGTCAGAGCAAATCTGAAGATTTGTAAACAAAAATATGGCTGACCCAAAAGAATTGGAGGGAGTATATTCGTAATTTTTCCTTTATGCTTACCAATGGTATAGTGATTTGAATAAAATGACAAATATGTATAGTGAGATAAGAGAAGATAACATGTACGTTGTCTGCTCGCGTGATAATATATTGGGTTTTTAATCCTAAACAAAGTGTCACGCGAATCCAACTCAACAAAAGCATAAAGGATATGTTGTTCTTTGCTTCTTTTTTTTTTTCCTTTTAGAAAAATGATAAGATGCTTGACTCACACACACACATATCATTAATAATGTAAAAAATTAATAATATTATAATTACACAAAAATTTAAAAAAGCAAAAAAAGAATATATATATATATATATATATATATAAAAGCGCCTAAACAACCAGTCCTTGGCCCTGCCCTCTTCCGAGTTCAAATAAATTCTAAATCATTATCATTATCCCAATTAAAATTCTCCTAAAATATCTTATGCCACTAGAACAAATGGTCCCGTTTAGTACATCATTAAAAATAAGGGATAAGGATTGATATTAGAATTGAGAAAAACCATTAAAGAGTATTTAGCATGATCAATAATTTCTTATTACATGGAATTAAATTCCAAGTAAGTGGGATTGGGAAATACCACCTCTCTCATAGTGTTTCCTAATCCTACATATATGGGTTTGTCCAATCCTAAGTATTCAGCAATTACTCATACTAAACATTCTTTTAACAGGATCTTTTAATCTCAATCTCAATCCTTACCCCTTATTTTCAATATTTTGTATGAAACGCGACCAATAGTCTTCGGGAAAACCCAGGATATCTCTACTGTATTCATTCTTTACTCTTACTTTACTCAAATAAGTGGGAGCACGGGGAACATGGGGGACTGGTTAGAAAATAATGGGAAGCCAACAAATATAGGGAGAGGAATAAGAATAGAGGGGGGGGGGGGGAAGGAGAATAGCGACGGGGGGAAGGCCAAACTTTTCCGTGCGGCGACTACGACCGCCTATCCAGTTGTGAGCTAAAGAAAATAAATAAATAAATAAAATAATTGAAAGGGCGATGTGTCCAAACCATTATTATATACTATCTCTCTGGTCCTAATTATAAGGTAGTAATAAAAAAACAAGGATGGCGCTTCATTATATATAAAATGACAGCTTCCTTTCCATCACATCTTATAAATATAATGGTTTTCGTACATGCACGTTTATGAGCAAAAACTTTTTAAAAAAATACTTTGTGAATTTCAAAAACCAAAATAGAATATCCCAAACTTCAAAATTCCAAATACTACCTTCAGTCCTAATTATCTAGAGGTAGTAAATACTTATGACTAAAATGAAAATTTGCAATATTGCTAAATTATAATAGGGAGAATTATCAAGATGTTTTAAGAAAGAAATTTAATTACTATACATCTCAATGACAAATGCTCAACCTAAACCTGTTTTTATTTCTGACTTTGAAACTTGTCATTACTTACTTTTCACTTGTCAATAAACTTCAAGGTAATTAAATATATCACTTTCTTATGACTTGATTGTAATTATGTCATTATAATATGACCCTTGTAATGAGTTTAACAACTTGATCAACGTCATTTACAATTTACAAACTCAACATTTGGAAAAATACAAGTAAAGAGGCGTTGTTATAAATCATTTACTACATTACTAATGACATTTATAACATTTCTTTATAGACTTTCACCACTTCACCAATATTATTTATAACACCTCTTTTGCACCATGACCCTCTTATTATTTTTTTTTTTGGGGTTGAAATTGTGAAAATAATTGTTGTAAATAGTGTTGATAAAGTGATCAAATAAAGTGCTATTAAAACTGTTGGTAGTATAATAAATGGTGGAAATCATGACCTTCCTGCATTTTTCCAAAATGTTAAAATTATTTTTAAAAAAAAAAGAATTGTTATATGTAGAGTTATCACTTATGACAACGTACCCCCAAAGCCACGGGCGACCTCTAGGAAACATCAAACATGATAGGAGACTCCGACGATGAAAAGTGGGGAGCACATGCTCAAAACAGTGATTTCAAGCTTTCCAACACCACACACCCAGCGACCGCGGAGCACGCACCGCCGGACAGGGACAATGACTGAAAGTGCCACGCGCACAAACGATTATTATGCACCAAAAAAGCATTCCATCACATGCTATAGCCCTACATCTAAAAAGTAAAATAACATCCTTTCATCTAACAACCTTGGTACATCTAGCATTTTAATATGCTTTAATATCTTAATTTTATTTATTTCGTATCTAATATCATGAATCATAAATAAAATTAAAATATTAAATATAATTAAAAAATAATATTAGGATACTGAATGTGTTATAAAAATAATTTACGAGTATTATATCTTACTTGATCCTGTATATAATGATTTTGTAAAGACATGTTTATCATTAGGTTACCACAGTGTTTGGTCATTATAATTTATATTACTCTTATTTTGGTTTGATATTTATGAATTCAAATAATAGCTTTTCAGTTTCTCAATAAATAACATAATCTAAATCTTAATTAAAATATAAGAATTAATTTTTTAGACTGATAGTACTTAGGAACCAAAATTTATAATTTGAAACTATAAATAACAAAATCAAAATAAAGACCAACTATAGCAATGAAACATTATATTATTTTATTATCATACATATTGTTATTGTATTACAACATACTAGTATTTTAAAACAAGATTTTAGATATGATTTTGCGGAGTGCGAGATAAATATATCTGTAATAATTTAGCTAAAAATATTTTTTAACCAAATACCCCTTAACCCTTTAGTCGTTATACCAACTCAATTATTGTAGCTCAATATTGTATAATAAATCATTTCCTGAAAAAACATTGCCCCGGGGACCGGAGTTGAAAGTATCTCGTGGACAAATAATAATTATATAGATGAAAAAAGATTCCATCTCGATTTGATGGTTTTCGTACATACATTGGAGGATTTATTATTTTACATAGAGTTGTTACCCCAATTACGTACATAATTTGGGCTAGGCTTCTGCTTTTTTCCGAGGACAATGATTAAAAAAAAAAGCTAAAATTTTATAAATACCAAATAAAAAATGTCCACAAAAATTTGTTATCATTTACAAATTCAGATTTATTAATATCAAATAAAATTGTATTACCAAACTTGATTTGGAGTTTGTAATTTATAGTTTTTTTCCCTGTCATTCTCTTTTTTTCTTTTTCCATTCTGGGGCGGTCCTCTGTCCTCTTTTATTTTTTTTATTTTATTTTTTCAACTTTCAACTAAGCCTTGTCACGTTGCCTCTTTCTTTGTTTTTCGTCTTATCTTAAGGGACTATTTGGATGGAACTCAAACTATAATTTCAAAAATAATTTTATAGTATACAAAATAAATATGTGAAATAATTTGCCTCGATTTATATAAAAGTGCTTTTTAAGAGCACTTTTTTCAAATACCAAACACTCCCCAAGCATCTCATCCATGCTCCAACGACAATATAACGAAACCCAAAAAAAAGAAAAGAAAAGAAAAGGTAGACACACAAGCGTATCTTATTTCTATTATCCTGATATAATTGATTTTATCGTTTTTTTAACCAAAAATTGATTTTATTGTTAACTCTTATCAGCTTTTCTCAATCATAAATATTAGTCCCTATTATTATTTATTTGAATTTAATTTTTATATTTTAGTAAAAATTTGTAAAAATTTATATTTTTATTCAAATATTTAACGAAATAATAAGTATATTATATATTTTTATTTTTATTTTTTATAATATTTTTATTTTTTAATTTTTATATAATATAATATTTAAAAATTATGATATATTATATTTTTATTTTAATAATATGTTTTAAAAATAATTATTATATATTTATATTATATTTTTTGTGACAGATTAGTGACGGAATTGTGATGAAAACTAGTGATGGAAAAATTTCGTTACTAATTCAATCACAATGTTTTGTGATAGGAGTTTGTGACTGAATTTTTCTGTCACTAATCGTTTAAAATAGAATCAATGACGGACTTGTGATAGAATTTAGTGACGGAATAAATTTTGTCACTAATTTAGAGACAGAAATTTTTCATCACTAAATTTCGTCACTAATCTCCTATTTTTTTGTAGTGCCCATTATCTTAAAAATTTGATAATTGTTGAAAAAAGAAAAAAAACACAAATTCTAAAATGTTCTTATTTATTGTGTTCAACCTCTTATAACTATGTTCTTTAAATCCTAGGGAGGATGGATATTTTGAGTGAGTCTAATTTTTTCTGATATGATGAGCAGAGAGAGCAATTAATGCAACGCGTGGCCACGTGCTTTACAAATAACAAAGGCATTAATCAGCGAATGAAAATTGAAGAATTTTCTTATTTTGCATTCCTCCTTATTCAGATATTCAATTGATAAAAACTGAACGAAAAATAATTGTCTGATTATTTATTTTAATTTTA